TGCTTTGCACTCGCCACCGAAGGTTTAGAACCCTCGGTCCCATCGTCATAATCTTCGTAGACGGGTTCCGGTTCCGCAACATCATCGAGATCGTCGGCGAGGTTCCTCGAAAGGAACCTGGTCGCCCCGCTCAGTAAGGGATGATAGTATCCCCGTACACATCCGTGTACTACGAGCAACCCGCTGCTGCTCTTCGCCGATTCGAGAGTGCGAAGACTCTCAGGGGCTAAGTCCCCGTGGTACACGACACCCGCGCACCCATCACGAAGACTTAGTTCTCCCCCAGTAGGGCGCCCCGCCTCTACTGGTTCCCGGCGTTCCCCTGTCCCCGGGATCCTGGCTTCTGCCAGCGACTCTTGAGGACAGGCTTGGGGAAGGACCGTCTGCGGAGTCTTTCCGCGGGACAGTCGCGCTTGAAATGGCCCATCTTCCCGCAGCCGAAGCAGCGGATGTCACGCTGTTTGGCGGACCCGAGCTCCGTGGGAACTGGTCCGTTGGGGCTTGCTCGACCGGGGGCCGACAAATAACTCCCAGGCCATGCTGAGGCCGGCGTACGCGCCTGGCGATGGCTGTACCCTTCTTGAAGAGCCACTTGAATCGCCTCTTCAAGGGTGCTTGACTGCACCCGGAACAGCTGAGTGCGTGCGAGGCCCACCCGAAGGCCGTCCATGAACACAGTCATCTTGATGTGTTCGTTGAATGGGTTTCCCACTAGGGACGCCGTGAGCTCCCGTATCTCTTGCACGTACTCGTGCAGCTCGCGCCTCCCTTGTTTACACGAGAGGAAGCGCGAACGCTGGCGGTACTCGTAGCTCGCCGGGAGGAACGCGGCTCGGAGCTGTTCACACAGCTGAGCCCAGGATGTGAAACATCCAGGGGATGTTGATTCCCGTGTATACACCCAACGCTTAGCACGGCCGCTAATGTTGGAGAGTGCAAAAGCAACACGAAGTTGGTCGGTCGAGATCAGAGCCGCGTCCATCGCGAGCTCTACTTCTTGGACGCAGAAGTGAAGGTTCTCGCCTTCCTTCCCTTCATACGGCTTAACCTTCAGCCGTATTGGCTTCGGGTGAGGCGGATTTTCTTCCGCCGCCGGAGCCTGCAGGTTCTCCCGCACATGCGCGATGAGGCCCTGCTCGTACACGTCGAACGCATTGACGTGCTCGAGCTGCTCAGCCGGTGTTAACACCACCAGGCTCTGCAGGGCCTCCATCCCGAAGATGCCTGCCATCTTCCGAACCGACTCGAACTGAGAGTCGTTCATATGGGAGAAGTCGTTCCTATCCATGGCAACGAACTTCGGAGAGGTTCAGGTAGTCTACCCGCGGTGGCGTGGATTGACTACGAGTGCTACCAAGTGTGACGGGGTCACACAGCACCTTGCGCTAGAGGAAGTTATCTTCCGAGGATTTACAAACTCTCAGTGAGCGGCAGTTCACAGGTCCCCTCTTTATTCAAGAGAGAGTGAAGTGACCTAAATAAGGTAGATTGTAAACTTAGTATATTTATAGGTAGATAAAACTTGGGTTTAATACAAACTATAAGTCACTTATAGAAATGCAATGTCGTTAACCAATGGTTGGCTTTGAACGACCTTGGTACTTTGTACCAAATATCCCGAAGTATGACGTGTCATACTCCTGAAGTGTGAAGTGTCACACTTCATGTAACCAGGGTACACCTAGGGCTACGTACCCCGTTACACTCCAGCAGTAAATGCATATCGGAATCACTGTCTGACATCGTGTCTAGCTGTCGCTTTTTAAATGTTTGCTTGATCTACTTTAAACGCGTAGGTGGTCGCCTGCCAATTATAAAAGCAGGTGAAAAAAAATGTTTTGGTGATCGTGCAGTTTTCATTGGTGGTCCTACACTTTTTGTTTTTTCGAAGGTCTGTTTTTGGTGTGGGTGGTCCTTTTTATTCCGTTGGTGGTGGTACACTTTTATACAGTGCCCGCCAAATCATTAAGACCCCCGATTTGGCGGGACAATTCTGACAATATCTCGGCTTCTAGCCTGAGTTGAGAGCTGCTACTTTGATATGTTCTCTCTATTAGGCTTACAGAGGTGGCACTTGTGTTAACAACTTAGATTTCTATGTATCTGACAGGGCTGGTATACAAATTCAAGGTTTGGACATCAGCGTCAAATTATTAAGACCACATCCTTTTTATGACGAAAAAACACTTTTATGAACAGACCTTACAAATTTCTATATTAAAAGAGTGATGGTCAAAATAAGTAGATGGTTGGCGGAAATGAGCGGGTAGCTAGACGCTACGGAGGCTGTGAGCCTTTCATTTTCTAATGGGCCACGGCAAGACCCTCTCCCAACAAGAGTACTGGTTTATCGTCGGTCTCCACGACGGAGGCGTCTCTCTGCACGAGATCGCTAGGAAGACAGGTCGGTCCCGTACGTCCGTCCGGAATGCAGTCAAGGCGGAGCGGGGACGGAAGGAAGACAGGGGTGGAGAGCGAAGGGCTGGGCGGCAACCGGCACTGACGGAACGAGAGCTGCGGCAGCTTGTGCGTGCCGCGGCGACAGGTGAGTTCTTTGCTGCGGAGCTCAAGACGAAGTTCGGCATCAAGGCGTCCGTGAGGACGATCCAGCGGGTTCTGCAGCGTGTGGACAATCTGGTTTGCACCAAGATGGACCGCACGCTTCCCCTCACAACAGCGCACAAGGCTGCCCGTATGCAATGGGCGGAAGATTACATACTGAAGCCAGGTAAGCCTCTCATATTAAAGTTTTGCTGCAATTTTGTACTTCCTCTGGTCGGAAATGATCACGCGAAGTTAGTATGATAGGTCTTTCAACTGTTCAATCCTCGATAGAAATTTGAAAAAACCTATCATACTAACTGACACGTCTTTCAACTGCTCTATCCTCGATAGGAATGCTCTTCAGTTTGTCACGTACTTCGTCTCGATTCTTCCGCTTTCTGCCGCTGTTCTACTTAAGCCGGTTAAGTCACTCACCTCTACGACACCAGCCGTCATTGCAGAGCTGTACAGCTCCAATTAACTTCACGGTGTCCGGAAGTCGGCTCATAAGAACATCAAACGCTTCACGGGGTAGTTCTCTGTTGTTCTCTGTTGTTGCTGATCTTTAGAAGCTCGTCAATGACGGCTTTTGCGCTCGTTGTCGATAAGGTTGGACTTCGGCATGTTTATAGAGGAAGAAACAGCGTAGCGCAGGCGTGGCCCAGGCGAGGCTCACGCTGGCTTGAAACCTTAAGAGCTAAAACTGAAATTGCAGAGGCTATAGAAGTCCGTTCTGCGCACAACCGGTGGCTTTAAAAAGAGGAGGTGCAGGGCTTCCGTTTGGTCCCATCAGATGCCGTATTGGATAAATAGAGCTGAAGCGATTGGTCATTTTGTCGGTTTCGCGTGATCATTTCCGACCAGAGGAAGTATTATAACAATATTTATTTTTTTAGAAACTTGGATTTACACTATTTTTTCAGATGAAAAGAAGTTTAATCTAGATGGTCCTGATGGATTCAAGTATTACTGGCGGGACATGCGCCAGCCTGCACAGTCTTATCAGCGTCGCCAAAATGGAGGAGGGAGCGTCATGGTTTGGGGCGCTTTTAGTGCAGCAGGTAAGAGTGAGCTGGCCATCTTGCGTGGACGTCAGAATTCAGGTGACTATATTTACACGTTATCTGAATATCTACTCCCTTTTGCTCACGCTAACTATGGTGTTGACTTTGTATTTCAGCAAGACAATGCTTCGATTCATGCCTCGCATGAAACGAAGCAATTCTTGCAGGAGATGCAACTCAACACCATGGCTTGGCCAGCTCGCTCGCCTGACTGCAACCCCATCGAGAACGTCTGGTCGGCGATGGCGGCCAAGGTGTATGCACATGGCCGCCAGTACCAAAACGTTGCTGATCAGGAGGCAGCAATCATGGCTGCATGGGACTCCATTCAGCTAGACTACTTGCTGAAGCTGATAGAGTCCATGCCTCGCCGCTGTCTAGCGGTGATCAAGAAGAAAGGTGGTCTGACTAAGTACTAATTTTTAATATAGAAATTTGTAAGGTCTATTCATAAAAGTGTTTTTTCGTCATAAAAAGGATGTGGTCTTAATAATTTGACGCTGATGTCCAAACCTTGAATTTGTATACCAGCCCTGTCAGATACATAGAAATCTAAGTTGTTAACACAAGTGGCACCTCTGTAAGCCTAATAGAGAGAACATATCAAAGTAGCAGCTCTCAACTCAGGCTAGAAGCCGAGATATTGTCAGAATTGTCCCGCCAAATCGGGGGTCTTAATGATTTGGCGGGCACTGTATGACACGGATTCGCTCTATCTAGCAGTGTACACTAGGGAATCGTAGCAAAACACCTGCTTGTAATGCAGAGCGAACGCTCAAAAGCTACGACGCAGATAAAATATCAGCATCACTTCCTAATATTTTCTGCAAAACGACTTCTATGTCGTTAGTAGCTCTGCACGAAGAATTGAATACAAAACACCTGATTTGCACGACGATTTCCGTAGAAGTACAATTTCACATTTGCCACAGCAAACACTCAGGTGCTTCCTATTTTCAAACCTGCGGGTTCTTCGTTCGATGAGAAGTGGCACCAAGTTGGTGCGATGGGTTGGTGCCACCAACCCATCGACACTGTTAGTAAATGCAAGAGTCAGCTGTTTTTGTCTTTATTTCTTCCTGACACACGCTTTCTAGTAAGAGTACAAGCAAAATAGACCAGTCTCATTCTGATCCTATTGTACCCTCTTATTGGTACACGCTGGCTTGAGATAACTTTAGTTTGAGAAATTCCGTGGTCCCCGAAGCTATCACAACCGAGAGGATTGGCTGTGCAGCGATGCTGCCCGGCAAAGCAAAAGGCATCACGCCGGGCTTCCCAGTGCTCAAGATTTGAAGAGCCTTCGCCATCTGTAACTTTTTCTATTCGATGGCGCCAGTCGCGAAATCACCGTCAAGGGCTCAAGTCGGGCGTCCCCGTCGCGAGCCAAGAATGCGCCTCCCCTATATCCTGCTCGTTGCTTTGGTCACCTCCCTTCCCTCGCTCTCGGTTGAAGCCAATGCTGGAACGAGGACTCTGCGATCGCTCAAGACGAGCAACAGCGAAGACGCGGCCGAAGAAGAGCGCGTACTACCTGTCGTTCCCTTTCAGCACACTTTTAATTTTAACGCTATGGACGAGGTTCTTTTCAAGTTTATCAAGTTGCCGGAACAATTCGAACGAATGAGGACTCAGCCAGAGCGCCTACGAACAATTCTTAAAGACTGGTACGATACTCTCCAAAGCGTTGACGATATCGTCGCCTTCATGACGAAGCAAAATTTGAGTCCGAAAGCCATTGAAGAGTTCAAGGGAGCGTACGAGGCATATATCAAGTATGCAAAGTCTATCAACGTGGATCCGGCTTTTTTAGCCCTTCATTAAATAATTGAAGCCGCTACCATTAGTAAATTGTTGGTATCGAAGAATAATGCCACCTCTGGGGCCATAATCGAGTGCATTTAACTCTATTTGCCGAGTTTGTGTCATCGCACATGTCTTCATAATTCATCGTGAGTCTTCAGCATCTCCAGTTGACGTATTTTGTGCCAATGAGTCCGCATGTGGGTGTCCAACGTACTTGCCAGTGCCGTTCTTGGTACTCTACGGATCGAGAAGGTGGTCAAGAGTTACCTGAAGGAAAAGAATGCTGTCAAATACTATAATACAGCAGTATTGCACATGTTAAGCGTAGCCGAGAGCACGAGTAGGTAGTCTCACCCGCTATTTGGAAGTTGCCAAGACGGCCGTTTAAGCGGAAGAACACCTGGATTATTTTTTATCTAACGAGAAAGAGACATCCGTTCCGGGCAACAAGTGACAGCGAGAGTTTTTGAAAATCTGGAGTTGGTCAATTGTTAAACTTTATGATTAAGTGTTTTCGTGCAAGGAACTGAGCTAGCTGCGAGATACTTAGTAGTGTCAGTTTCGATATGGAACTGCCGTGCAATAAACTTTTCTTGCTTTGGCTCTGAATGGGCCAAGCAAACAACTGAAAAGAAAAGATATTATTTTCTCCATACCACATATTCTGCCGGGCAGGGGCAGAGTATGCAATATATCTCTTCTCTTTTAGTTGTTTGCTTGACCAGAATCGTTTCACGAGGCGTGTTTCCGTACCAGATATTCGGTGGGGCACGACATCAGGAGTATGAAGTGCAAACCTGGCCTTTTACTTCATATCACGAAGTATTTTCGATTCCTTGACAGCTATTCTCTAATGCTCGATGTCTTATGCTAGTAAGACGTGTTTTACACGGAGAAGCTCTGGATTCTTCAATAGTTATCAATAAATTGGGGCAAAGCCTCCCTTTAATAACACAACACTTTGTCCTCTGATAAAGTACAACATCTACTCTTTTTACAGACATTTTAGCGGTTTTAGTAAACGGGTAGGGCTCTTTTAAGAAATGGAACAGCAAAGGACCAAGTTTCACGAAAAAAAAACTATTTTTAAAGAACATGAAAACTGTTACGTGTGGGGTCTAAAACTGAAATGCGCAAACTTGCCCTTGACTAACAGTCAAAAAACAGAGGAGCCATTTTTGTTGATATTGTGAAGGGTCGCTTTGTATCAGGCAGTGTTAAATTACGTGACGAAGTCGTGCTTCGCTCTGAACTTTGATAGAATCTAAGCAAGTAACAATTAAAGGTTGAAGATGAAAGGCAGTTAAAATGACTGAGAAAATGTTCTCAAGACAGGGCAGCAAGTGGTGGCGACACGAGTTAAAAATGACTGCCTTTCCGATCGTAGAGCGGTGTATTGGTTCGGGTTGGGTCATTTTGTTTTCTGCACGCACTCCAAGGCATCAGCTCAGGACACAGCGGAAAGCTCCAGACCGAATCAAACGGGATCCAAGCGCCCCGCCATCAGCAAGAAAGCGAGAGGAAAAACCAACGTTCGGAAAAATCTACCTGTTAAGTACCGATAGTCAATCTAGTCTCTTCGTTATTTTTTAATCACAATACATGGCATTATTTAAGCGATTTATTAGATTTACACGATACTGGCTAAACACTAATGCATGCCGAATATCGTTGCTCCTTGTTGGTGTCTCACAAATGTAGCTAAACCCTTCTTCAAGAGCCTGTGAGTGCCTACAAACTTTAGTATAAGTTAAGAAGAACACAAATTGGTGTGTGAAAAATGAACCAGCCCAACTCCGTCGACTTCATTTGCGAGACACGAACAAGCAGCAAATGTATGTGGACTAGTACTGTAGTACAATTAGAAGGACCGTAAGCTTACAAGTATCGTGTAAGCTTTTAATCGCTTGAAATATAATCTCTATTCCCGTATTTTTCGACAGTCTCTGTGTTCGCGCCAAGCAATCTTCATCAGGAACCTGTGAGTGCCTACCAACATGCTAGTGCCTCGTTAGCCGTCGCTAAAATGTCGATGGAGCTGGTCTAGTTGATCCATATTAAAAAATTGGTACAGAGATCTTCAAACCATTCGTCTGCATTTACACGCGGTTCACACAGGATTAGTTTCTGCGAATTGTTCGTGCAACATTCAATAGTATTGAATGTTTAACCCTTCTAGCCCCTCTGTTTATGCTGTATTATACAGCAAAAGAAATAAGCTTTCCTATAGTATGACGGCGTACCTGTGTGAAATTTATCTGTTTGTAGCCCCCTTCTAGCAATCGAGCCGGATTCTAGTACAATTTATGATGCTGCCAGTGAATTCAAGAGTCCTAATTGGCTAGATTGATGGATACATTTTGTGTAAAATCGTGAAAAATGTCTGTAGCACTCGTTACCCTTTCATACTCGATGTACGGAAGTCGTCGTGGCGATTCGCGCCAAAACTGGTGGCGTGGAGAGCGCTGCAGCTACCCCGCGCTTTCCGCGGAGGAAACTTTTGCCCATTTGTCAAGCAAAGACTTGTGTAAGCAACAAATGGGCAAAGTTTCCTCCACATTAGATCAGAGGTGAGCTACTCGTCATCTACTTCCTGCAGCTTTCTTTTCGTGAATCTAATTTTCTTTCTCATGTCCGGCGGGATGATGGTGCCATTCTTCCCGGTGATATGCCATGTCTGATGGCACGTGTCGGTGTTGCCTCGCTCCTCTCTGCAAACCTTGTTGCAGAGAGCCACGCGACCCCCAAAGGTAATCGAGCATTCTTCACAAGAGTACGGCGTCTCGAAGCTGCGATATTCCTTGTCGGAATAGGCCAAACATACTTTGCATAAATACTGACGGACTTTGTTCTTGTAGGTTTCCGCCGTTTTTGTCAGCGCGTGCGGTTGTCCTGCCAGTGGGGTCGAAAGTAAGGTTTGGGCGTGCATGTTGCCTTGAAAGTCCACCTTTTGCTGCGCAAGCAGCTCCACGTGTAGCCGCGCCAAATAGTCAGCATGGGTGTGAACAGGTTTGCCTTGCTCTTTCATCACTCACTTGTGGACAATGAACCCATTGACTAATGCCATGTCAGCGATACCGAGAAACAGGTTCTTGTAGTAGGATCGATGGCGCAGTGCTTTCTGGATAGAATAGCGGTGAAGTCGCAGCTGATCGTGTTGGTCTACTCCTCCCATGCCTTTGTTGTCGATACGAACCAGCTCGGGGCACGCAACTTCAAGAGAGACGCCATCCCCCCATTGTAAAGATCCGATGCACCATCTACTTGAAGGTCTCCACTGTGGTCTTGATCGTATACAACCCACGCAGAAGAAACCGCCTTCAATTCCGCGTCACGGAGAAAATCAGGATTGGCCTTGGCATTTTCTCGAGGGGACCAGTCATCATCAGCAACATCCTCGAAGAATTCGGCGTCATCTAATCCGTCATCGTTGTCGTTCAGGGCATCCTCGGCGGCATCACTTGCCAAGTCCACTTGCCAAGTCCACTTCCGTGTCCATTACTTCGTGAATATAATCTTCCGTATCAATACCATCAGACTTGTCGCTCTCCGAGTCCGAGTCACAGAGATTGGGATCGTCTGCATCCGCATTTTGACACCATTCACACTTGGACAAAGCGGAAATGAATCCATTCGAATCGTGCATGTTGAGCTCTGCAACGTCATCAAGTTCGACTTTTTCCTCTTCCTCTACTGCAGCATGACCTTCTTCTGTATCAAGATACAGAGGCAGCGTCATCGTGTTTTCTTCTGCTGTATCAGACAGGATAGCGCTTGAAGTTTTCGCTGTAGAAGCCAGAGTAACAGGACGCACAGTCAGAACTTGTGCTGTAGCATCCCGAGTGGCCACACTCGCAGGCCCAACTTGTGTTGTAGCCGGTCGAGCAGCTGCTGTCGAGGGCCGAGCTTGTGCTGTATTAGCCGAAGTAACTGGACTTGAAGCCCGAGCTTGAGTTGTACTGGCTACAGTGGTTGCCGTCGCAGTAGAGGTCGTCGTAGCTGGCACGTTCTCTTTAGCAGGCGGGGTAGACGTTGGTGCTGTCTCCCTTTCGACGCGATCAGCTGCGGCAGAAGTGGACCTATCATCGCACGCTCCGCTGTCTGCAGGCGGTGCCATCAATGCTGTCGACGAAGGGGACGGAGGAATAGTCCCAGCGATGACACTATACGCTAATCAGCCACGCTGTCGAGCAACCCCAGTAGCGATTTCTCGCCTGAGGGGCCAAATCGGTTAGTAAAGTTGTTGTAATCGATGCAAACTAGTGGTGCGAGCTGTACCGGTGAAGTAGTCGACGCCATCCTTTCCTTTCACGCTTCTTCCCTGGCGGACGTAGCGGTGGTCACTACTAAGGCCGGTGGAGGGCTTCAATGTCAACCCTTGCTTGCAAAACTCTCGCCAGAGCTGCTTGAAGGTTTTTTTTTCATGCTGTTCGAGTTGGGCGGAGCGGGGCGGAGGGAGACCGAGATTTCAAAAGTAGTGGGGAGGGAGCGGGATAGCGTGATCGACTCAAACCTCTATCCACCCGATAGCATCCGTAGACGGGCTCCTCTAACCCCAGATCAGTAGCGACGTGCGAGAAACCAGTCACCGTTAGTATTTGCAACCGACCAATACAAATTTCAGTATGCGAAAAAGTTTGATGTTTCATTGTTCGCTGCATATTAAAACCTCTTATAACACTTATGCTGTATTATATAGCATACGGGACTAGAAGGGTTAAAATCGGCGTACGAAACCGCTAGGGCGACGACACAGAGAGCATTTGTATAGCTCATAAGCCAAGCTCAGGTACAAATGTCCACGCCCATTAGTGCTCTTACCTCCCGGTATAGTACTTTCCACGAGTCGTACTTCGTATTAAAACCGTCCAGCAAATTGGAACCAAGCTCTTCGCCTCCGCTGGAGCTGTTGGGTCGGAATTTTGTATTTCTTCTACGTTTGGTACACTTTGGTAAAAAAAAAAAAATCTGGAGGTCTACCAAATGTGGAGTGATCTTCCGCAGAATCCGAGTACATCTCCGCTTCATCACTCGTACTACCACCAGCATTGCCTCCTTCGTCATTCGTTCCTCCTACCGAATCTTTGTCGCCTTCGCTGCTGTCTACCGCATTCTGAGCTGCGAGAACATCCACAAAGTCATCGTCGACCGAATCATTCGTGGATTGTTCGCCATCTGCCTCGTCAAAGGCCTGAATGACCTCTTGCAGCGTGCTCGGACGTTGTTCTTCAGATTCCGAAAATATTGGCTTTAGTGCGCGCGCTTTCGATGGCTCACAGTATCTGCCAGCCGCGGCTTCGCCACAATTACTCCGCAGCTGAGATGCCGTGGTCGGTGTAAAGCGCTGAAGCCCCTTGACTGCCATGTATGTGGCTTTCTCTTCTTGTCGTGAGCGTTAAACTTGCTCCGCGCGATGTGCCTCCAGAATTTGTTGGTCGTAGACCGACAGGGGTGCTGGTGTACGTCGCTGCCACTCGCTATTCCGAGCGTGAATCCTTGCTACTCCTTCAGCATCTCATTGTGGGCTGGTGACACGATGCCTCTTGATAAATACCTACATTTTAGTAGCAGCCTGAGCCTCGGTACGACTGGGATTTTAGGAACCGTGCGGGCGCCGAACAACTTCCACTCTTGCTTCAGTGGGGACGTAGGGTTCGTCACAGGAGGATTGCTCTCCATGTGTCGATCGCTTCTAAGAGTAGGTGCCGTTTAAATGTAAATACACTGAAAAATCAAATTTAGGAAAGTGATCAAAGGAAATATGTCAGCATGTATGTGCCGGGCAAAAGGCCGCAACAGGACCGCGGTGTCTGGTGAGACTGCTCTCGTGTGAGCCACAGGAGTCAAAACGCAAAGTGAGGGAGCAGCCTCCGCCAGAACACCGCTGCTCCGCAAAAGGTAGATTAGTTTACAAAATACCCAGTAAGTCAATACTAAACGTCTAGATAAATGCACTCACGTTGAGCACACCATCTTGGCAGCGCACAGCCAACGATGTCCATGTGCATACTGTCCTTGGTATAGTCCTTCGCCATTGCACGCACGTGTACTCAGTGTAGGCGGTTGTAGTGCAGCCGCAAGCTGCACTGCCAGGTGCATGAGTGTCCTTGGGATGTGTCTTGCAGACACTGGCAGTGAACGGTGGCTCGCAGACAGTACCGCAAAACGTGTTGTGACGACTTTCTTCCGTCTCGTCCTTGGCTGTACCAAAGTCGATCAACTTGATATGGCCGTCATCGCTAAGAAGGATATTCTCTGGCTTGAGATCGCGGTGGATTACACCATTCAGGGGCACGGGGCACTGGCAGACTGCATTGCACTGGCGCTCGGCACGCAGGTAAGCTCACAGCTCACAGCTTCTCTCTCCAAAGTGGGGGGTGGTAATATCTTAAACGGGATTCAAATGCAAGGGCGCTAAAATACAGAAAGGGACTTGGAATTCATTTATAAAACGATTACCTTGGCAAATTTTGAACAGCAATGTATTCATTATACCACGTTTTGTAAGTATTGCTAGCGAATGGGCTAATAATGTTTTTTGTCGGTGAATGTTCATTCCTCGTGTCCTCAAGCTCTTTAAAGTGGGCTAAGAACAAATATACGGTCTTAAAGTCGGCATCACATGAGGAGCATTTTCGGTATTCGACAGACCACGTCTTAAATTGTGCAAAATTCATAAAACCATGAGGATAGACCTCACTCTAGTGTCGAAGGCGTATTTTATGTAGGAAGGTACTGTACAAAAAGAGACGGGGTATGTGAGAGCTCTACCGTGTCGTGTAAACTTGGCAGGTGGACCGTAAACGTTTGGCCAATCAGCTGCCGAAACATGGTTTCGGCACCGGTTTTCGGCCATCCGGCCATGGCCGGGCCGGACAAAGGCCGTACTCTTTTTTATGCACCTTCAGTATACAGAAATCTGCCTGAATAAGGAACAAGGTTTCAACTAATAACCTCGCAATTTTTATAGTCGGCAAAGAGGGGATAGTGATGGGCAAGGTACTGTGTCCCGTACCCGGGAACGGAGGGGTCATTCCAGGAGCTCTGCCTCCCGTCTGGATGACCCGAGACCCTGGAATCACTCCTCGCCCCGCCGTCCCGTCAGGGTGGTTCCCGTTGAACTCAACCACGCACGTGCCCCTGACCGAGCCCGTTAGGGTGGTCCTATAAGGGGCCCCAGAACGCCGGAGTCTTGGCGTCGTGGGACCAAAAGCACCTCGCGACATCAAGCCCCTTCCCAGAAGCTCTCCGTTGTCCCACGAAGGCCGACAACAAACGAAGTGAATCCTTCCTTTTTTTATATGTAGTGTAGTGTATGTAAGGTCGAGAAGGTGTTAGGCCTCTCTTCCGGTTAGCTCTCAGTCTTATATTTCCCTCCTTCTACTCAAGAGGAAGCCAAGCCAATCAACAAACTTTTATTTTCAACTCTCTAGTGTTCCTATCTACCGTTCCTGCAGCCACTGAACAAGACCGTACTCCCTGAACAGCCGCGGACTACCCGACCCTCGAAGGAAGAGGAGGTATACGACATCTGGTGGAGAAGCAGGGTAGTCTGCTAGCTGGAGAAGGTCTTGCTCCAAGTGAAGTCTCGCGGAGAACGTCAGAAGGAAGGACAAGATGTCGGCTACTAACAACAGAGAAGATGAGAGCGCCACTGTCCGGGAAGAAGAAGGCCCGACCGAGAGTCTGCCTTCGAGAATGCGACCCAGTCTGTCGACTACGCAAGGCCTCCAAAACGTGCAGAATATCATAGACCAAGCGGCTAACCGACTTGGGGGGAACAACTCTAGTACTGGTGTCGAGCCACCCGCGGACGCTTTGGGCTCCGAAGTCCCTGCGACCTTCACTTCGGAAGAGTTGGGCCCAATGCTGACCCTGAACGGCGGAGGCGGCCGAGGTACGGTGCAAGGTTGGCTCAACTCCCTCAACTGGTTGAGATCCATGGCCCCTCCTGAAATTGCCGCCGCTATGGAGAGAACTGGTGGAAACGGTCTTGTGGGGACTCCCCCTCCTACGACTCGAGTAAGGACTGCAATCCCGTCGTACCAAGGTTTCACAATCCGAACCCCAAATACGTCATATGGGCAGGACTTCAACCCGTTCTTCTCCCTACCAACTGTCCCTGAAAACGGTGGACGTGCTTCCCCGGCAAGTATTCCTCCGAGGACTTCTAACGCTCCCCCTTGGGGTCTCCAGCCCTCCGGTAACTTGCGAGGAGGCGGGGAGAACGCTCCAGCGGTAACCGTCCCCGTTCTTCAGAGGGTTCCTTTCCAGGTCTCGTCGCCTACCGTTCAAATTCCTACCCAAGGCCTGGGGTCTCGAACTTCGATTACCAGTGGAGTCGCGTACGGAGTCGACCCTACGAGAACAACCCGAGCTTCACAAGGAAACGGAGGAACTACGGCTTCTGCCGGAACCCACCAGGGTCCTGCGTATGGGGAATATGGAGGTAACTCCTACTACTCCTCGCCTACGTATGGTAATACGCCTTCGACTACTAGTGGCCTGTATGGTATGCCCACTAACATCCGAAACGCAATTCGCATGCTCCAACCCTTTTACTCGGAAGGAGCGTCGGTGGAGAAAGCTAGATCCTTCTGGGAGGCCTTCGAGAACGCCACGATAGGGCTGGACGAACCCCTGCGTCTCAGCGCTTTCAGGGAGTGCTTGAAAGGCAAGGTCGGCGAAGATTGGTGGATGTACTCGCGCATCAACAGCTTTGAGGCTCTGAGAACTCGGTTCCACAACCAGTTCATCAGTCGGACCCCTTTGCAACTGATTGAGAATCCGAAGAACACTATACGACCCCGGGGAATGTCCGCCGAAGTGTGGGGCGACATGATCTCAAGTCTCTGCGATGATGCTCAGTGCTACGACACTCAGATGCGTTACCAGTACTTCTTGTCTGGACTTCGGATTCGAGATTGGAGGAACGCCCTCACCACGACAATGATTGACTCCATCCTTGCGGCTGTGGCCATGCTGCTCCTTAAGAATATGCACCGTCCGGTTGAAGACGACTCCGAGTTCGACAATGTGCCGTCCCCTAAAGCTTCCCAAGAGAACGCTGTCCTCGAACGCATGATGAACATGATGCAGCAGACGCAGAATCTACTCGCTCAGCAGCAACAGCAACAACTTCAACAGCAACAGCAGTTGATGGAGCGTCCTCTGACGACCGCCTATGCTTCCCCAGCGATGAATGTAGCTGCTGCCTACTCTCCTTCTGATCCGAACCCCTCTCTGCACTATCAGCCTACCGGAACGCTTCCTATTACGCCTATCAGGGGCGTTCGTGTCGGTCCGGACTTGCGAACCCAAGATGGTCTTCTCGTGTGCGGTCGGTGTCACACTCTGGGGTGTAGTCGTATTCACTGTCGCCGCGGCAAAGCCACCTGTTCTCACTGTAAGGAAGTGGGCCACATCGGTCCTAAATGTGAGCGTGACCCTCCTAGCGGATTCCGGAACACCCAGCCGAGGAACGGACGCAAGTGCTTCCTGTGTGATGAATCGGGTCACATGTTGGCGGAGTGCCCTCTAAAGACGTCACTGAAGAGACTTGGCGGTCCGACAGGGGCAACGGTGGGACCTGTCCAAGGGCAAGCGCCCAGCCAGCAATGATGGGGGCGAGAGGGAGGGGAAGGGAGTGTCGCTCCTTCCTCTTGTCTATGGATCGACACAAATGGGAACACTTTGAACTCCGCGGAGGAGTCGACCAAGAGGTATGAAGTGTGTCCTGTTGGAGGTGGGATGAGTTCCGCCTTACCGGAAAGAAATGAAACGAGCGTAAGCAATGAACATATGACGAGAACTGAAGAAATACTGCCGTTTGAGCATGAAGGACGTACGGCGCCCGTGTGGAACGGGGTATCGGTAGTCTCAAACCCCAACGACTGTTGGAAGACGGAGAGAGAAGCGTTTGTAAAAGAGGTAGGCTCGGGACCCGTATGGGACGGTCCCGCAATAGCTGCGCACGTCGACGAACGCTCCAATACGAACCTAAGAGCGGTTACGAGAGATGACCAAGAGAGCGAGATCGAAACAACGAACGAAAAACTAAGCAAGGAAGGAGAGACGGAAAAGCCGCAACTTCAGGCGTCCTCGACGGAACGAGACTACCCGTCGACGTCAACGAACCACAAGAGTGTGGTTTCGAGCGTGCTCGATCAAGACGAGGAAAAAGGTGAGTCCAATAACGGCCCTATACAGGAGGAGTTACCCCCAGACGTGAAGGAGGTACTCGAAAGCCCAACCCGAGAAGAATATGGAGCTACCGAAGCTAGTGTTCCAGTACCAAAGGCGGACCCACGCGGGCAGGAGAAAGACGTGACCCCTCCTGAGAGAGACGACGCCTCCGAAAAGGACTCTGAGGACGTCGCCAGTACTAAGTCCCCAAAGAATGAACCGGAGAAGGAGCCTTCCTTCGCGAGGGTGTTCACCAAAGAGGAACTAGATACGTTGGAAGAAGGTAAGCCATCCGAGCTGACTGAAGAGAAAGAAGAATATGACAAAGAGCTCGAAGACCGACTGTTTCCTCTCGATGAAGTCGAACTGAAGCGCCGGTTAGTTGAGAATGCGGAACAATCGAAGGAATTGTCTCTTGCCGAGTTGAGTGACTTACTAGGCATTCCCGAAGAACAACTAGCGAGGACCCGAGATTCTTCCCCCGGTCGACTATCTACTCCTGAGTACTGGTTGGAATGGTTCCAAAAGACACTAGCCTCGTCCGGAGAAGCGAAGCGAGCCAACCGTAATTTCCAAGAGGAAAAGCCAGTACGGATCAACTCTGTGACGTCGGACGACTCCGATTACCGCGACGAAGGGGGAGGGACCGCGACGAAGAGGTTCTCGTGGCAGGACGCGCCGAAGACGGTAGTGCACTTCCCGGAGCTGAGAGTTCCTCCTCTACCAGGAGAAGAGTGTCCCGCGGACCCCTCTGTAGTGGAAGATAATATCGCGCTAACCCTGGGGAGTTCCCCCAAAAGGCCCTCCGAACTCGGTGAAACCGAGTACGAGTTGCTGGACTCTCGCGGTATCGTGCCGGACCCTTGGCGAGCCATAGTGCGACGAGCCGTATACTTCCTCGTAAAGGCTGAAGCTTCAAGTAGAGGTGACTGGTGTGAAGGGTGTATTGGCGAAGGATCGCTAGATGAAGAAAGGAAAGATGACTCCCCGCCCCCCCACTAGGCTCACAAGATCTCCTAAGCCGGATCGAGGACTGGGATCAATAGCCTCGCTGTTCCCACTGACTCACGATCGAAAGAGTTACTGACTAAGAGAATTGCGGACCTTTACGAGGAAGGGGCTGACGAACTCCGCTTGAAGATCCTCGAGAGGAGTTCACCCTGCCGACTCTGTCGTTGGAAAGATCCTGCTCCTAGAGGTTCTCCTGCGCCGAAGATAGTCAGTTTCGACTGCTCCTCTCTATTCGGTAACCGTACCGAAGCCCTCGGACCGAACTGTTCTCCCCGAGATAAGGAAAACGGGTTGTACGGCTATGTGAACGTCGTCACTGACGCTCCTGACCCTCGCCCCAAGCCAGGTTTGGTAGAAGTACCGAGCGCCACTGATAACTGGTCCGCTGACGAGGAAGAAGGAATCGTTCCCCTCGGCAAGCGAGTGATCGGATCGGTAGGGGGCGTGGAAGCTCTATCGTGGGGATTTATCAAGAGCCTCCCGGCCGAACTTCTCATCGACTCCGGGGCCGTAGCGTGCCTAGTGCATAGGCGGGTATTGAAGCGTCTCGGCTTAACTAACTCGCCTCTAATGCCCTACGCTGGCAGTCTGAACGGTGTGTCCGGGTCTGCGCTCGATATAGAAGGAGTAATCTACTTGCCGGTGACATTGGGCTCCGTCGAGAAGAG